TTCTGGGTTTAACGGGCAAATGTGATGCGTAGTATAGTGTTGAATCTCGATCAGTACAAGCCTCCACCCTCCTACCTTCGACCCTGCAGTGGTGAGTCAGAGAGCGCAGCACCCTGTGGTCAGGGTCATTTACATGCATCAGAGGTCTGCAGGTTCTTCAGAGGAGGTAGGAGCTTCGCCTTTCATCGGATTTGTACTCTTGAAGGGTAATGCTGAACTATACTGACGATACAGGAAGACCATTACAAAGAGTCGAATCATCAATGTTCAGTAGGACTGTGTCAGAGATGTGTGTTGAAGCCTGTGTTTCAGAACATCATTCAGAAGCGCTCTGGTAGTTGAATGGTTAAAGAGCATGCTACATGGTTGACATGTGGACAGGGACCTTTGTTGCATGTCATAACGTTGGCAACATTGAAAAAAGAAAGGATGTTATTATAAAGCCTATATTGTGTAGTTAAATTAGTACAATTATAGCACATGTAGAGTATTAACGACATTATACTGCGGGGCTGTAAAAAATAAAAACAGCTAGAGCTCACTAAGATTAAATACTTTCTATTTTGACCATTGGAGCATAATATGTAGTCAGTCACCCAGTAAAACAAGCTTGACATTTTGAATGTGAAATTTTCAAATCAGATAAAAAAAAAACTATTACTGATAATGGTGTGTTATTCATATAAACTTTGTCCATAATGTGAAAAATGTGTTTCAGCTTCACCACACACAAACAAATTAAAAACAACACCAAGGGCCAAAGCAACAAAAATGTGACAACTTTAAAAGGCACAAGTTATGCTCCTATTGAGCATCATTTAAACTGACTATCAATGTATCAAATGACAATTTGAAAACAATGTGACAAAGTGAATGGGAGTCTCTCGCAGTGACGAAGCTACAGAGCCTTATCTCACCCGAATCTGAAGCTCCCCATGAACTTCACCGAGTTCCAGCTCATGGTTGAGCTGTCTGGTCCACAATGTTAAAGCTCTAAAACCCAACTGCCCACTATCAGCACCAAACAGCGGGCATGTTAGCAACTAGCTGGTGAACATAGTGGAGCATTTAGCAGGTGAAGAGCTAATTATTTCCCTCAGGAGGTGGTATAGACCAAAAACAGAGCTAAAAGAAAGAATGAATATTAGACTTAGATTAGCTAAAAAAAAAAAAAGAGCCAGAAACGCAGCTTGAAATGAATGATAATGTTGCTCTGTAACTGCTGGATGTATAAGTTAGCAGCAAGTTCGTCATTTCACGACATTTCCGCTGGCTTCAAGTGACCACAAAAGTGGGTTACTGCAAGTTTAAGCATGTGCTGATAAGCTAATGCTAATACACTAATGATAAGCCAAGCTAATTGTTGCTATAGGTTTTGTACTGATATGTCTGTTTTACTGTTGCCTCATTATTATCCATTGTTGTGATGGTATTCTAGATGATATACAACCTTTCAACTGCTCATGATTTAGCCTTATGAGCAATCTAGATCCCTACCTCCTGTCTTACTGACTGATAGCTACTGAGGAAGAATGTTCATTTCAATCTTCACTGTTTTTTTTTAATTTTGCAGTTATTAAATACATTTGGCTGGTTCACAGAGGGAACAGTTTGGGAGGTATCTCTTTACATTTGGTATTTTGACCATGTAGCTGCCAGCTACCCCTGGACACAGTTCTTTTGATCGAAGCCCTGTGAAAACAAACTCACCATGACCACTGTGGCTAAAGAAGAAGAGACACTCAGCCCAAAGCAAACCCAATGGGACAGCTTTGATATCTGGCTGTTTTCAGTAAAATGTGCATTTTTGATCTGCAGTTGAATATGAGACAAAATACTGTAGACTGCAAGCTTTGATATAGCCCCTCCACCCCTTCCAATTTTTAATATAACTGATGCAAGCAGGGAGGGCAATTGAGTAAATGTCTGTAGTCTATTACCTAGTGATAATAATACTTAAATATGACTCTATGATTTGTGATCCATCATCTGATGGCATAATTTTTTATTATTTTTGTGATGTTCTGGGCCTGGAGGAGAATATCTGCCATAGAGTAGCATAAATGTTATTTCTGTAGCACTGCACGGCTCAATCTGAGCAAGTCTCTCCTTTAGCTGAGCAGCAGAGAACCAAGAAAAGAGACGCTGATGTCAAGTGGAGACAAGAACTCTAGTAGTAATAGCAGTTTTAATGTGATAGTGGCACCCTGTCTGACTCATAGCTGGAGTAATTAATTCATAACCAATAATGTGTATGTGATAACTCAGCAGGTATTCTCAGAGAACGCAGACCCAATATCTAATTCAGAACCAAGAGACAAACAGATATGCTATATATGTGTACTGCTTTATGCACAGTCCTTAGGAATTAACTAACCTAACCTTAAATAAGTGTTTTAGTTAACTAACGTTCACCATGCCTTAACCATTGCTTATTTGCCATGGCAGTCATTCCCTAACCTTAACTAAACTCCAGTTGCCATGTGCAGATATTTTAAAATCAAAGTGAAACTGTTGGGATGGCATGAATCATCCAACATCAGCGTCCTGTCTAGCAACAGGTTTTGTCTCTCAGTGTCCAATACGTGATACCACCATAATGAGGGACACTCGAATTTTCACAATTTACATGGTTTAACTTAGAATCTGGGCACAGTGTTATGTTTAAAACTACATGGATGTGTCTAAATCTGGCTTATTCAATATCTTGTAGCAATAGCAACAAAAAAAAAAGAAAAAAAATTCAATACCATCTGAAGCGGCTGGGGATAATGGGACAGCACCAGAACATTTACAAAGGAGAAAATAAAGTATCCACATTCTAGGTCTACACTGAGATCAGGTAAAGTATACAAAGGACACTAATAGCACTACGATTTGAATGCACCATATACATTCGCAATCACTCACACAATGTCATTTTTCTTATGATGTGGAAAATTCATTTTGGTGGAGCATCAGTGAATGAATGGACCCCTGATGGATCTGCTTCAGAGGTACTTCAGAAATTAAAGTAATGCGGCGCTGCTAATGAAGCCTGTTGCTTGAGTGAAGATCTATTAAAGGCTGGAAAGAGGGGATGTAGTGATGTAGTGCTTTAATAAGCATTTCCCATCTCAAGCAGAAATATGCTCGCATTTTCAAATCATTGACCGTGGGCGTTTTGTTTATACCCTTTCAACAACCTGTCACTTCACTAGTCAGTCTATTCAGATATGCACTTGGTGGTGGTGGTGGTGGTGTACTTTTGAATACTTTTAAATGTATCAAAACTTACCATGACATTATCAAACACTCAGAATAGATTTGGGTTGTCAGCAGGTCAATCACATGTTATTGAATCATTTCAATCATTTTCAATCTACTGACTTTTTTTTTAAATTTTGAATTTGGCAGTACCGTTCCAACATGGCACTGGGATTGATGTCCACTGGCATAGACCTACATCTTGTACATTGAATTCTCCTGTAACATCTGTCACACCAGTGCACTGTCTGCATTATATAGTGTAGACAGGAACACATAAACTCCTGAGGAATGAGAACAAATTTAGATTTAAATGTATTTGTATAGCACCATCTCATACAATGGCAGTTTAAAGTGCTTCACATAAAAACAGAATAAAACAGCAAAAAATAATAATAAATCGCTCATACCCAGAAACTTGCACGCATGCATACACATAAACACGCACACACCTACGATGTGTTCATTTAAGAGAAAGCTCGACTGAAGAGGAAAGTCTTTAGTTTGGATTTGAAACAACTCAGCAAGTCTAAGATCAGCAGGCAAACTGCTCCATTCTTTAGGTGCATAAATGAAAGCTTTCACCAGAAAGCATGGCGATTTCCACCTGAGAGATCAGCTACTGACAGCATGTCTATGCACTGAGGAGCCAGACCATGAGGAGGAGAATTTTAAATTGCACTCTGACTATAACATTTAGCAAGTGAAAGTTCTGGAGAGCTGGAGTTAATGTAGTCTGATGTTTCTGTCAAACCAGGAAACTGATTGAATTAATAGCAAACAGGAATAAATCTGAGTCAGGGAATATATCAGAGATGATAATGATACTTAATTTTAGATAATGCTGCTCATTATTATCCTAATGTGTGAGTGGTTCCTAGAAGTCTGTGAGTCTGACAACTAATTAATCTAAATGAACTCTGTCATATAAGCATCATTTGTCTCCTCAAATATAGTGGTGTGTCAGACTATTGTAAAGTGTTATTATTCATAATTTATCATGTTATTATGTATATTATACTGTCATTGGCTGGTTGGGTTCATGTCCACTTATCTCTTGTTCTCTGTAAGGAAAAAGTAATAATGATACCTAAAGCTGTTGAAATAAGTGAAAATGTGTTGGAAGAAAAAAAGACTATTTCACCTTAATTGTCCAAATACATCATTTTATATTTAAACATTATGCCTTTAAAATGTGAAAGTTTGATTTATGTTGTGTGTGAATATGTAAACTATTTGTATGTACTTGCAATATGTTTATAAAAAAACAAAATTCAGTCTGAGGTCTTAAATAGATCCTTCAGCTGCACTAAAAACACCTCCTCATGTAAGGAATCAACATTTTTTGCAGCGTGAGCTCAGTATCCCAGGGAGTGAATGAACCGCCAGGAGAGGGGATGCTGGATAACGGCGATGCGCACTGAGCAAGTGCTGCTTCGCTCTCAGGACTGCCATGAGGATGGATGGAGTTTTTGCGTAACGGAAAAGCGATGGGTTTCCCTGCTCTTTACCAACCTTTCTGGCACGTTTTTAAAATCCAAAGGAAGGACATGACAATCAGGGAGTTGTTTGCGGAATTCCCAAATTCACAGACTGTAGACTTGATTTCAACAACAGAGAGGTTTCACGTCTCCGGAGATGATGCTTTGTAAACTTTACGCGTGTGGTAACCTCGTAGCCATTTAAACAGCTTCCTCGCTGGATCGATTTCATTTATTTCCTATATTGCCAGGGTAGGTGAAACCGGCGTTGAAATGTCTGACTTCCACAACCGGAGCCAAACCAGCGCACGTCGCAGTGACTACGTGTGGCAGTATGAATATTATGACGACGAGGAGCCCGTGTCTTTTGAGGGACTCAAAGCGCACAGATGTAAGCTGAATACAACACTGAGACAATCTGCTGTTGCTTTTACTGCCTTTTACTTTGTGCAGCGTGTGTGTATGCGTGTGCGTGTGCGTGTGTGCACCTTTCAATGCATGCATGAGTCTACAGTATTTGTGCATGAGAAAAATGTGTAACAGCAAACAAGGTGACTCATCTGTGATTAATTATTAATGATTATTTATTTATTTCCTGCATTGTTTTTATTGCTTCAGCAGTGGTGACAGGGCTATACCTGCTTCTCAATAAATAAATGATCTCGCAGCAATGTGTCATACAGCACCTGTGCTGGCGTTTTATCTTCCACCTGTAATGAACAAGCCACTTAATAAGACACACACACAAAAAATGGCCATCAGCAAACATTATAGACAAGTGGGCAGCTGCAATCTTCTAATCAAATTTAACAAACACTGAATGCTCTATCTGAGTAAATGAGGGTTTTGATCTCAGAGAGAGGGCCCCTGAGATCAATTACAATCACAAGCACAGGGGTGGGGTGGGGTAAGAGAGATGGCTCCAATCATTAAATCAATGTACATCATCATAATAATAATAAGATTCTCTTTTTTTCTCTGGCATTTCAGACTCCATCGTCATTGGCTTCTGGGTCGGACTGGCTGTGTTTGTCATTTTCATGTTCTTTGTCCTCACACTGCTCACAAAGACAGGAGCGCCACATCAAGAGTGAGTATACCAGGAGGCTACAGTAGCTACAGCCCACGTTTGGTCTCATGTGTGACTTTTATATCCGGGCCTGCGGGGGATTAAAGCTCCAAAGGAGAACTCGGGCAGCTCAGCTCTCGCTCTTCTTCTCATCTCAGAAGAGACGGGGGCAGCTTTCACGTCTGAGGGGTGAACTCAGAGAGAGTCAGGGCTGTAATGAGTTCTACTGGTGCTTTTGTTATTCTGACAGTAGACTATGTTGGGAGGCGTTTTACTCTGGGGACCAGCGGTTGCTGTCGTGCACGTGACGTTATTGTGCTGTTATGAAAGGCTGATATTTGACCTGGAGATGGCAAGGCCAGACTGACAACAGCACTGAGGAAAGCCTGAATATGAATGAAATAGGGAATTTATTGGCTGGTAGTACGTCACCCACCCCCCACCCCCCACCCCCTCTTACCCCATATTTCTTTTTTCAGAAAAATAAGATGGATTTTTTTTTTTTAATATTAACATCGAGGCACAGACATCTTTAGTCATTTTAAGTGTTTGCCTACAGCTACACCCAGGATAAAATTAATAATAAAAGCCCCTCACATTCTCAAAGCCCTTTCCTGCTGCAATCACACTCTGGCTCTTTCCTTCTTTCCTAACAGAAACCCAGACTCTGCTGAAAAGCGTCATCGACCAGGGAGCTGTCTGGTAGACATCAGTGGTTCCCAGGAGGAAAACGACAAAGCCTTTTCTCGCCCATTGCTAGCGGAGTCCCACTCATATTTTCATTTCTATATCAACGAGGAGGATAAGGGCGAGGGGAAGCAAAAACCAGAGGCGAAAAGTGTTGCAAAGCACTGCGGGGCCGGAGCCCAGCAGGCAACCTGCAAGGGACCCAGAGGCAGCAGCTCCTCAGGGATGAATGATACGGAAGCGGACACTGAGGAAGCCGGGGGCCACCGACCTCTCAACGGACTAATAGAGGAGAGTAAGACAGACAGAGAGTGTGCCTTCCTGTCTCACTTCAACATCCCAAACTTTGTGAACTTGGAGCACAGTTCAGCACTGGGAGAGGATGATCTGCCGTACGAACCGTCCATCATACTGGAGCGCCGGTCTCACTCTCAGGATGCTCACTGTGACATCCACTAAGGCTGTTTCCATACAAAGAGATGACAGGCATGGGCAGAATGGCTTTGTTATGTTATTTGCTTTCATTTCAAGGGGCCATTAGTGGCCTGGCAGAGGGAAACATACTCACCCGCCACACATCTACCTTTCCTCCTATAGCTTCTCTGCTTGGAGTGTTTTTAGGTTTTTCAACAAAGGGTACAAAGGATGGCCAACAATTCTGTATTAAATGAAACACATTTATAAAATGACTTTTCATCCCAAAGATAAAATAGCCTCGCAAATACTACCTTTAACTGCAAGTACTGAGCTCCACTGAATTGAATGTGGTTGTACTGTATCAAGACATGATGACTTTCCACACAGGGACAGATAAAAAAAAAGTCACCAGGGAGCGATGCTTTGTAGAATTCATTCAGATATCATTTCTTTCTTATTTTCTTCTGAGCATGGTAGGCAGTGGATCCTATCTCTCCAACAAGAAACAAATGCCAACGGCTCTGCCAACAAGATTAAAAGCAGAGAATTGAATTTATTTTCACTCTAACATGAAATGCCTTCTAATACAAAAAGGTGGAGTGTTCTTTAACTGTATATTAAGTAACCTATTCTATGAGACAGGTAACCTGGGAACTTGGATGATAATGTGATATTGTACTTTTGTAGTCAGAATTCTGTTCATGGCCCAAATAAAGCCTACCTATATGCTTTTGGAAATCAACTCAACATTGATGTGGTGTAGCATTTGTTAACATTACATAATGGCTATGAATTTGAAGCTGTGTCAGCGGTAATAACAATATACAAAAACTTAAAGCTGCACTGATCATTATTTTTTAAAGTGCAATGAATCAAATGACTCTGTGTGATGTGAGGGGACTGGATATTGGACTTACAAACTCCTCCAGATGAATGCTAATGTTAAAATGTTATGTCATATCAACTCTATAAAGTTGTAATATTTCAGTGTTGTGTTCACGACTTGTAGCCAGAAGTAGCCAAAAAAGTGAATGAATGCAGGTTTGAGTTATGTCGTCTCAAATTTTCTTTCACCATGGTGACAATAAAGTAGAATATCTATACTCATGTAAACACAGTGGGAATTATCAGAGTTATCAAATTGCAAGTATTACTGTAATTGAAGTTAAAATGTGTTTGTAATGTCTTCAGTGTCACACATGCTGAGGAGCCCTGCACTTCTGTCTGTGTCTTTATTCATGCAAAGAATCCTAACCCTTTCCAGTCATGACAAATTAAATGTGCTTTGAGCAGTATCGGGTGATGATTATGTAAAGGTTGTCACATATCAGCAAATGCACAAGCTAGGTATATTTGGCTGACGGACGGATGTGCCGCGAATGCCAGAGAATCTATCAACATTAACGCAACGCTGACCTCACCAAATCAGCCTTTCAGATTTTTGACAAACAGTCCATTAGTTCTCTTCCTGAGGTGCGAGGGAAAATAAATGTTCAGAACATTCATTCTCGTCTCCTACGCTGATGGTTCTCATGTTTGTTGAAAGGCAGACAGTTGGGACCAGGCTGAACAAATGGGATTAGTTAGTTGCCAAGGACTGTTTGCAGAAACGGCCTCTGCAATTTGGGCAATGTTTTTTCTCTATTTGTACGAAGCATGTTATCCTTTAATTAATTTAGCGTATTATCACATTCTTCTACGTGAAACGATTAGTTGTTTACTGACCAATGAACTATCATGGCAGCTGTCATGAGGAATAGTGCTAGAAATTGGTTATAGTGTTATAATCCAAATTTTCTGTCTTTCTCCACTTTTTCTTTCTTTCCAATTATGATATACAGCACAAATATTCCTGTATTTATATCTTTGTCACAGGGCTGAGAAATGCAGTTGTTAAACCATCACACTGTCACTTTACCTGCACAGCTGAGTAGGTAATGCTCAGAAGTGTTGCTCAGAACCTCATGTGACACCTGTGAAAGAGTTTAGAGCTCAGTTCTGTTGGAGTTAGCTCTGAATAAGGGACAGCAGAGTTCAGACACTCAAGAACGTGTGTAGGCAGCGGGTTTAAAGTCTGAGGTTATGTAATGTAAACACGAACAAATGCTAAGGTTCATCAACAAGTGGATTTTCCGACTAAAACACAGCCAGAGAGATGTTTAAGTGCCTGCAGGATTGCCTTTCCTGGTGGGCGAGTTACCCTCAAACAAACTCAAAGACGTGTGTGACCTGTGAGTAGCACTGCAGAGAGATGCACAAACAACGGCTTTCACCACAAAGAATTTGTCATTCCCTCATGTCTGAGTGGCAGAATTTCAAAATAAAATTATTTTACACATCATCTGAGATGGTTGCTGTGGTGATTGTGGCACATGGCTCAATCACTCGGCAATAAGACAGAGAGAGAGCAGCAGTGAATCAGAATCTTAATTATCTTCTGATTGAGGGGGTGTTCAGTGAAACTGTGTCCACTGTGTAAATCTCTATGACAAGAAAGCTGACGGGCCATTTGCATGAAACACAAACCGTACAGAAAACGGAATGTTCTCCATCTGTCGAACACAGAATGTGTGAAAACATGTCAGCAACCATAGCCTCATATAATTGTATCCACAACCAGTGTATTCAACTCCTGATGTGCTTTGAGTACAACACATGCAAGAAGGAGCTCCAGTCGCCACATGCCTCAGCAGTTCAGGCCTGAACCAACTTCACCCAGACTGGCCTCCAGGGGTGTAGTTATCATCAACAACCAGTGGGTGGGGTGATGGAGTTACATCAATGCCACGCAAGGAGTCTGCCATTTGCTGTTTCCGAAATGCCCCAAGGCGGTCTCTCTGGGCACTGTAGTTGACATTTGGAGAGTTGCAATGATGCTTCAACAAATGAGCAGCAAATGAGCAAACTGGTGGAGAGAGAGGGGAGGGGAGGAGGGAGGGAGGCAGGAGCAGGGAGAGAGGAAAACATTTGCATTTTGTTGACGCGGAAAATTCTTAGGGATTTGGTGGGCGTTCAAAAGAAATGCCAGTCAAATATGTAATTACATAGTCGATTGCACGAAAACAAAACGCACAGCCTATTTTATGGGGTCCACGCACAGGCTGCCATGATACCGGAAAGCAAAACATTATAAAATATCCACAAGACAACATTGTTCCCAGTTTTCGAGAATGAGCACTGAAGAGGAGATGCACTGGAGATGAAGCCTCCATGATTGAATTCACCCAAGAAGAAGAAAGTTCTGACCCATGTCCGATATATCGAGAAATTATTTTTAAGCTTACACGTTCAAGAGCGAACTATCTTGGCCAAAGGTTACCTAAACAAGATCACTCTATGTGTTATCTGAGAATTATAGCAGATGTATAAGATAAATACTGTGTGATAGGCACTGCATGACGCACTGCACCAAACCAACTACAAGAGGCTCAAAGTCTCCTCACCTCTCTGTTATGTATAACCATGTGTTTAGTAGCATGAAGGAGAAGGATTTGGGGCATTTATTTTAAATAAAATGATCAAAAAATTCATCAGACTTTTTTTTTTTTGATTTCTTTTTATTGTATCGAAACAAAAAACCTAAGAGGATCTTTTCTTCTTTTTATTGTTTCTACTTTAAGACAACCATCCATGTGACTGAAGAGCATTTCCTGTATTATTATGTTTTATTACACTTTGAATATCACTGTTTCTCTTTGGTAAATGCACAATATCTATGATGGATCTACTTCAGGCTACCAATTATATTATTATTCATAGTTATAAGTTTTCCCTAAAGTGAAAATTGTAGCCAGCCTAATCCATTGTACTATGGGCAGCTATGCTGTCAAACCCATACGCCACAGTTACAATCTTATTTGAAAAGTTAACAAAAGAAAAATCACCAAATCTTTCACAGACATGGAATTAATCTTAAAAATGACACCTGAACTGCACTCAAGAGCCTCCCCATTGTACAATAAAGCCTAAAATCTATTCCTCTTCTTACTTTTTGTTTTGTTGGCCTGGCCTCAGTAGCTTGCCAATTCAAATGTCGTGCCAAGCAAGCAAAAAATCTGGGTGGATCCAGAGAGTGAGTGACTCCTTCGTTCTCATTCAACAGCAACAAAGCAGCTGTTTACACACGCCTGCAGTGGAGCTGCTCACTGCAACAAAAGGAGGTCGCTTGTGGTGAGCAGCTGGCAAGTAAACATGTCTGTAACTGCGTCAGTGCGACACAGGGAAGTGAAGAAAATCATTCTCGGCATATACTGTAAAACTCCTCCCGGCCTCAAAAACAACTTCTTCTAACAGTGAATATTATAATTGGACAAATAGAAGTTGTTCGTTGTGATTCATCTCCTACTCATTTGCATTCCCAGTGTATAACAAGCTCTTGAGCTAATCCTTACAATCCAGGCCAATTAGTCAAGCCAGCAGAGGTGAAGAGACAGTAAACGCTGCATGTTGTTTTTTTTTTCCTCAGTGTTTGTTAACATGTCTGTATTTTTCCCTACTAATGGTTTATTTATAGCTCCAAACCAGTAAAACTAGACTTCCACTCCTCTGAGTGATAATTGTGGCACCATTTGCATATGCTTCATATTGAGGACACGCTAACATGCGTTATAGCTGCCTTTTGTCTCTGAAATGCATAACATCCAAAAAACCCAGAGTATTTGGTAATGGTAACTGGGGAGAAAACCCAGCCAAATTATTAGCATTATGTCAGGTTCCCCAATACTTTTCGCTATTAGTAAGAGAAAAAAAACATGAAAGGCGAGTGTAAATTTTTAATAGGGTGTAGAAAGAGACAGGTTTCAGTTTCTGTAGCACATAAATAAATTATGGGAAAGAGACAGGCAGAGAGGGGGAGTGCATTTGCATGTATTTGTGAATGTGATGCATGTCAGGTGTGTGTTGTGTGTTCAGTGTGCACATTGTATGTCTGTGTGAATAAAAGGGGTTTGAGGTGTAAGAACAGCCCTTACCGCTGGTTTTAAAGGTGGGGGTCTGAGTTCAAATGATGGTCCTGCCAGGGGGGTGCAGGCTGGGGGGTGAGG